ACCATGCTAAATTCTGCTTCAAAAGACGAAAACAAAAACGCCGAACTCAAATTGGAGGTTAGCGTTGATATTTACTTTCATACCTTGATCAAACGGCGGTACACAGCAGCCAAATCACCACCCTTTTGCATGGAAATGATGCGCATGTGATCTTCCTCGCACACCCATACCAAGAAAGTTTTGCTGTTATTATGGAAAATGCCTCGTCCAATTGGCCAGTCGCGATAGCCACCAGCATCACGGAGGACACTGAAATAAACGATGAAGGAAGATCAGCAGTACAAACAGGTTGATTTCATACCACAGAATGATTCCGAGTGAATGATAGAAAACCCCGTAAAAGGAAGGGCAGCAACTTTGCTGTAAAAGATTCACACTGTAGGTGAATAAGCATATCTTTAATTGATCAGACTAACCCTAAGTCACTTTTATAGCCTCGTGATAAACCACCGACAATGAACACATGTGGTACGTAAAAACTTCGAAGAACATACAACGTTCAAGATTCTGTAATACTAATAGGTAGTTAGGTTGCAAACGCGTTATAGATTATAGCCACAAACAACAGACGTGATGTGGTTACGATCCACGTTAGATTGCATCAAATGGTTATTGGAAGGGCTGAATCAAACTCCGACGCACAAGGATAAACACGGATTATCGATATTCAAACACCACTGTCAGGTGAAAAAAACAGGGACGTGATGCCAATATTGAAAGAAAAGTATAAAGTGGTAGCGTTTGTTCACTGTCTTAAGTGCTACCTATACACTGTGGAGGCTGAGGCATGTATTATGTATGCCATCAGAAAGGCTACTGAGGGTATGATGTTTTCTGAGAAAGGTAATCGATGGGAGAAGACAGAAATTGGTTTTACTAACACCTGTAATGAGAGACTGAAAAATTTAACCACAACACTCAATCACATAAGTAGTGTGCGGCTTCCCAGGGGAACATTATGACCGACTTGATTAATGTTCAGAGATTTTGGATAACATCATCTAACGCCAGAAACAGTGGCACTCTTGCATTACTCACTTTCTACTTACATCGGGTTTACGTACATTTTGTACTTTTATCTTATCTGTGATCTTCGCTCTTTACTTCTTCCATCTACCCTTTCACTATTCGACTGAAAAGCAGAAAGCAAAAACCGGTGCACGAAGGTGCAGGGTTTATGATAGTGCAAACTGAAGACTGAGGACTAGTGCACAAAAGATTAGCGCTCAGTTAACAAAAAATGACTGCAATGAAGTTCTCAAAGTCCGCAGTGGCCGCATTCTGATCATGAACATGAGTTACAAGAAGACGATCATCGCCGTTGCTTATCAAAAGATGCATTTATTCAATCTAGCTCTTCAGTTGTCATTTTTCGGGCCGGAGAACAACTGTGCGATGTTTGGTTACACTCCAAGTTTCTGTTTTGATGTGAAAACTCATCGATTTCCAAGTTGGCGTTTTGCGATAGAATTTTAGAGTGCCTCAGTTAATTGATAAGTTTTGTTATTTTTCATTTATATCAAAAAGACGTTGAAGCTCCACCTTGTTATCAACCCATATTATCCAATGGCAGATATATGTCGACAACTACTGCATCGATTAATTAGGAGCAACGTCCCATAAACAAAATGTAGTGACAAAAGTCACTAAACGAAAAAAGAAGGCGTTTCTTCTCTATTTGAGCAGAAACTGGATATTGTACTTTTAAGGGCGGGGTGTAAAACTGTTCCGTGAAGCAAATTAACCGGACTAGTTGGTTCTTCTTATAACAATCAAAATAAGCGGACGAGTAGCAAATTTAAAAAGTTCTTGATTGTGAACTTTGCTTCTGGCAAACTCAATCTCCTCCAGGTATCATCGCCATTGGTAACGGGCTTGAATAAATCTGAATAAAGAACAACTAAAAACGATCAATTCAATAAATCAGGTTGCTATGGCTGGTTAAACAATGTGGGTCATTGTGAGAGAGAGAAAGAAACACAAGGGAGTGGGAAAGATTGAGATTTAACCAAACAATGCGCAGCAACTGACTTTCGCATCATGGAAGTCTCACTGAATTACGAATCACTGCGCAACGTTTGTTCAATTCTGTACCATCTTGTATCAAGTCAATATAAAAGTAAGGTTTCATTAACGTGAATTGTACGATTTCAACTAGGAGAGATCTGGAGTAATTACTTAGTCGACAGTAGTTAAAGAGGCAAACACGTGTAAGTGCACTTACGGATCGTCATTCTTGAAAAGAAAGTGATCTTCTACGAGCTGTTTTCGAGTCTCCTCGCTCATGTTAGCCAACGGGTAATAAGTGCCTGCATGTTCACCCGTCAACGATTTCAGTGCAGAGGAAATCTTGCTTTCTAGAGTCAACCGATCGTCTTTACCCATGATTGTTGGAAATAGATAGTCTTCTACACTGCGACCCACACGAACTCGAGTGGATACGATAAATTGACCTGAATTCAGAAAACCAGTTAGAAATCAAAGTTTAATCATAATAAACAAAAGACTATGGTTAAAATTAAGCACCAATGGTACCGCATCCAGTACACTTTTATAATGATTCTGATCACTTTCCGACTTCCGTTCAAAACATTGGGCAACACTTGAATTCTGTTGGAAAACCTTCTCACTCACAAACTTCTTCAACGTGATAATTATAATGCATTATTTTAGGGCACTTACATTCATATTGAACAAAGTTGATGGTAATGAGGGTCAAGGGAAAAGATACAAGTTATTACAGCGGAGTGAGGTGGGAACCTAGTGTGAAATAGGCTGGGTTTTGTTATTGACCTTGCTAAGTTTGGTTTTTGTAAATCGACAGGGAGAATCTGTGCTTTATTCGTTCCGCTTAACGATTGCTTATTTCACTGAAAACATTTAGCAAGAAACGCAAAAGTCTATCATACAACAATATTGTGCTAACGGGATATGTTGTTGACTACCGACAGAGCCCTAACAGATATTAGCTGCGCGCTTAAGTCAGAATAGTAATGGAACAACATATGACATCTGGAGATCCTGTGAAGCCATCGTTGCCTCGACAACTCAGCCATCGGCTTATTTGGCTTATCAATTCGCTGTGTGTTATTAACTCCTGAATTTACGATGAAGATAGCTCCGATAGGTTCAGAATTTAGATCGATATACCAACTTGAAACATGTCAACGATTGTACAGTACTGTGGCAAGCGTGAGGTTTATTTATCTGCAGACAAGGTCACGAACCAGATTGCTAGTAAAACCAAATAAAATACCCAGACAATGACTTGTTAATAAAGAACATACACACACAGAGGCTTCCAGTCAATATGTTTGAATCGAAGAATGTATAAACACAACAGTACAAAATTTTATTATTTGCAGAAAGGTTTTTCTGTTGGGAATGACAAAAATAGTCTATTGAAGTCAAGTCATTAGCAAAGATTTTAGAGGTAAACTATGACCAGAATAAGGTTTACATCCAAGATTCCCTGAAAAGTAATGTAATTGTGCAGATTACTGAATGAGAAACCACCCATATCACCCCTGTAAATGTATTTCACACACCAGTTGGATCCAAATCGCCGAATGGCAAATTATCCAAATCACCAAACGTGGGAGGAGGGTGCCTGAACGAGGCTTCTTGCACACCATGATAATCCCGGATGACCGCGTCCAAATAGTCCACGAACATTGTATAGCATTCTGCCTCTCCGGTCCTTGGGCAAATTGCGCGTGGGTTGTAGGCACCTAATAAATTTTATAAAAAGGAAAGAAGGGTGACGTCAACCAACATTGCTACATAGAGTTAAGTGATACGAAACTTATTTTAGGCCCCAATTACTGAACTCAATGTAACTGGAAGATAGGGCAAATACCAACGTACGGGGCAAAATGCATAAGACATATTTGAAGTTGAATGTCAGAGTCACCAGAAGCCAACTTCAATTTATTAAGATTAAAAGCGGTGGATTTTGACGAACGAAGGTTAATGAACAACTCCCCTTTAACTGGAAATAAAACTTACAGTGATGAGAATCTACGGGGATATCATGAAACATTACGAATGGACGAAATTGAGCTCTAGTATTGCTTAGTATTAATATTTAGTGTTAGTATTGCTTTTGTGGATTTTATTTTCATGCAAAGCAGCAGTTTGATGTCTTACTTTTAGGCCGAAAGAACCAAACATTTCGGCTGTGATTGAAAATTTCCGTCATTTAGCTACCCACTATGCCTAACAATTAACAAGAAACGAATAGTCAAAATTTCTGAGCAATGTCAAAATGAAGAAACCAAAAGTGTATAAAATAGATGCGCGCAGGAAATCGAAAGATGCTCGTGAGATTCGGTTATGTTAACCTGTCTTTGCCCATTGATATATATATATATATTCGCATTTTATCGTATCGTTATTTCAACTAATTGGTATGATGAAGGATGGACGAGACGCAAAAACCATTCATTTGCGTTCATTTTTATGCCTAACAATCACGATTCTGCATCGAACAACGTGATTGCATCTGCTAAGCATGTGATCTTCCACGGACGGGTGGATATTGTGGTGACACCTTGTCTCGAATCGGAAAACGCCGGGTCCGCCGAATGTGTTCGTATATCAGCCGAAATTCGGTCTCCGCGATGTGTGTAGCTTCTCACTAGCAAAAGTCATCAACTGGATTATAAATTGCTAAATTACATGTTCACCGGAATTGCACCTGAAATTTTTCAGTTTTATTAAGGCACTTTATATCCAACAAGTTAAGCTACAGATCATACAACCAAGGAATGTGAAAAAATTAAATTTATGCAACTCTGCTTACAACTTTATCAGCAATAAGATTACTATCCGCCATTAACTATTCAAATGGTATTGACTGCATCACAGGTGTCTGAAAAACCGATAGCGGAATGACACTCACAATTACGAACCATATGTGCCAGAGTAGCACCGTGTTTAGTTCGTTTTCCATCATACTTCTTGATAATTTCCGGTGTTAAGTGTTTGAAAGTGTAGCACTTCTCCGGGGATGCTGCCTCCAGTAAACGAGCCAAATAGGTCAACGGTTCAACTGGCATGACGCCGGCTATATAAAAGGAACGAGGAAACCTTTTAATCAATTAATATGTATGTCATCGGTTGATTGTCCATTATTCCATAATTCAAACTTCCCAACTGCAAATTTGATCAGAACAGCTTCGGAACTCAAATACGTAAATGTACAAGCCCAACCACGATGCCAAAAGCAATCATGCTTTTAAAAAAAAGGTAGATTACAGAAATGATTATTGTACTTGAACTATTTCAACGAAAAAATGTAGCGGGCACGCCTGCAAGTCCGCTTCACGAAAAGCTTATGTGAGCAAGATTTTTCCAACCAACAAACCCAACAGAAAGAGCCAGTTCTGGAACAACCAACAGTAAGCGTATCAGAATCCCGATTTATTATTACACGCCTTGGTGTGATGAACATTAGACGGGGTAAACCCCAAATTCACACAGACCCGCTGTTCAGTCGTGGAGACCGGTAACCTAACCCCCGGGATTTTAAGTGGTGAATCACATAAAGCCCCTCTGGGTTAGGCGTGATATTGAACTGGACGACAGCAAAGCTACTTACCACCAAAGTCGGGTGGCAGTGGCGGTGCTCAAACCTTGGAACGTAGGGTCCAAAGCACGACGGTGAAAGCGGCTAAATTACTAGGCCACCGTCGATGGAAATATGCTAATAAACCATCGGATAAATGCAAGACCTTTTAGATTCAACGGTTAACCAATGTATCTGATGGATGAAAAAGTCTCTAGACCGCCAAAGGATCTCAACGATCATATGTTAAGTACCTAACCTAACAGTAATCCTTATTAGTTCTAATGTTCTTCGACTGTCAATATGAATAAAACAAGATAATTTGTGATAAATCGTACTGATATATTTCGCGCACCTGGGGCATCCTTATTGTATACCTCCAACTGTTTCTCCAAATCCAACAGAGCCCGCACACCATTGTACATCTCAGTAACAGCTTCCAGTTCCGTTAGGCCTAAACGACGTTTGTTGCTTAAGTCATAAACTCCACCAACTGAGGCCGTGTGTTCGCCGTGCGTGCCACGGGGTTGTATTCCGTATCTCTCACAAATTTCCTATAACAGAAGAAATGAAATATCACTGTCGGTTCAAGAAGAATTCAAAAATTTTCAACGAAACGTTTAACAGACTTCTGAATACATTGAGGAATTCGCTGGAACTGTAGGATGTAATTCGGTTCGTCGCGAGTTAGGATGACTGAAAGATCAGGAATAGTTAATTTTGAAATCCTTGAAAAACATTATTCCTATAGAAAACATATCGACCGTGTAACATTTTAGGAATATGCATAAACGGAAGCAGACACAGGGAAACTACGGTGATTATCAACAAATGTGGTTGATTCACATGGGTATTTGAAGCGTTATGCTTTTTTAAATGACAAATACCCTTGAACAAGGGTCCTCTTGCATCGTCAAATAAATTAAATCTGCCGGACTGCAAATCCTCATTATAGGTAAGACTAGTAATCAAGTTACAACAACAAAATTTCTTGTCTTTTATTTCAATGTTTTAATTTTTATTTATTGAGCATTGAAAAGCTCAGACAATTTCGCAGAACAAGACTGAGGTCAAACAGAGGTTATACGGAGAAAGACACGAATGAGTAGGAAAGAGGGTGCGGACGAGATTAGAACTTACGATGACCTTAACAACTTGATCCCTAACCCTCATGAGAAAAGGAAGATACCACGGTAATGGGTCAAAGATAGGATAAACGTCAAGCTAAGTTCAAAATCAAGTGGGTGATGGAGGATTTGATTCAATTTCAAAGGTGAATTCGTCGTGTATATAGCAAAAGAAACGTGAACTGAAAAGCTGTGCTATGTCGTGTAAATGGAAAATGAAAAAAACGGACTGATCAGCTTCCCGGTAGCTAAGTGGGTAGCATGCTTGCGTTCTCCCCATGAGGTCACGGGTTCGATCCCCAGTTGGGTCGATGGATTCGCACTGCTAGTGAGACCCAGCCAGGTCGAACTGCTGTCCAGTGCCTCCCAGTTTTTCAGTTCACGCTTCATTTGCTATACATACGACGAATTCACCTTTGAAATTAAGTTAGAAATGTGTGATCGCATATAATGCATGAGTAGTTACTTCAAGAAAATTTACTTAATATGCTTGTTGATTAAAGATTAGGATTCCAGTAAGTATGGGTGTTTTGAAGGTAGTTTACCCTATTTGGGATAAATTCAGTAACATAGAAAACAGAGAAATCTAGTCAGATTGTAATCTGGGCAATGCTGTATCACCACTCTAGTCGGGTCTAGGTAAATGGAAATGCTGACTTAGATTCACTTTTCCTTCAGTTAAAAAGGAATTCAGATTTATCCGATTATTTTTTTCGTGCGCTACCTATTGCTAAGGATGAATTAGCAGAATTCATCTAGATTAGTCATCCTACAGTCACAATATGTAAACCGAATCCGACAGGAAAATTAGTGTTCGTTACAGTTTCCTTCTTCCCCTGCCGATGTCTGGATTGATTTTTACGAGTAAGATAACATGATATAGAAAAATGGTGTATCGATAGACGCCAGAGTAGGTTGTTGGAACACAATCTAAGGAAGATTGTTCGATCAGCCTGCTTACCTTGAAATTGGGTAAGGAAGCCAGTAGTGGAACGCGTGCGTGCACACTGGCGCGGAGCGTAGTGCCCAAATTAGATGGGCAGAACGTGATAAAACCAAAGCGCGAATTGAACGCAAATTTGAGCGTTTTGGATAGTTCATTAATGGCCTGTGAAAAATGAGCACAAACCATTGAAACCGGAAGTTAACATCTTACCGTTAAGTCATATGCGGCAGGCAGAATAATAGATATAAGTACCAAAGGCAAACTAGAAAACAAAAGCAAGAAACTGAACTGAGCGGAAAACTCATACAACTCACATGAACAGAGTCACAGGATGACCTCCGTAGCTATTGTTTTCGCTGAGAACGGAATGGAGTATCAATAACCAGTAGTAACGCGATTTAATAAACAAAACTGGAGTTAAATTTGATTCTTTTTGAATTATCAACCGTGCATAGAACTAAATAAAGGTCTTCAGAGTTCTATCTTAAAACCAAGTATTCGGGTTTTGAAAAAAATAATACTAACTAGCTTATTACTTGCCTTATAATAAAGAGCAGAATTTAAACTAGAGGACTGAACTTTAGCATACATGAAATCTTCGGGTGATTTTCATTTGATCTTTGGGTTGTTTTAATAGATAGGTTTACAACGCACTAAATTTTGCAGCATCTTATGTCGCTTTGACCAATATAAGTGACACCACTAAAAATGCATTCTCCAACTCTTTCAATTAGAGTTCTGGGATCATTTTTTTCAATTCAGAGACCATATTCTCTCAATAATGCTTTATGCGTACAGCCTGAATCAGTTTACTATCAAGTTCAAATGACCGTGGCGGGGTTCGAACCTCGGACTCTAGGGTCCAAAGCGCACCGGTGACTGCGACTTATACCGCTTGATCACCAGCGCCACCAAATTTAATTCAGTTACCAAACGAGAAACAAATCTAACGAAAAAACAAAGCTAATGAAGGGTATATTTTAAGGAGACAAAGTCAATTTCATATGCGCATTTAGCTACTAGTCGATAGCTGAAAGCAATCATCATATTTCAATTATGCACTTTAAGGAAAACGTACCCCAGCAAGCCTCTTATAAATTTCTATCAAGTCGCCGCCCTTTTGCATAGAAATTACTCGGATGTGGTCTTCTTCATTCACCCAGACAAGGAAGTTTTGAGCCTGGTTAATAAATATACCCCGACCATGAGGCCAGTCGATGTAGCCGCCTGCATCACGAAGGACACTAGGAGGAATCAAATGATGGAAAAATTAGGAGGTATTAAAACCGAGTCTACAGCTACTACGTACTATGCCGAAACCAAAAATAATTGCAACAATCATTTCATTTCTTGAGACATTACATTCCTATTGACCTGGTTTTCGTAAATGGCAGAGTTTCGCAAAATCGTTTCCCCATCTGTCCGGATTGAAAAACATAACTGAACAAAAAATTGGTAACTATAATTTTTGGAGTGAAGCTGAAAACTTAATTCGATTCTTCGTATATATAACTGTCAAATACGGTCAACACGGGTGATATTTTTAAACCCATAAAGTGTTTGTTTCATTATTGAAAAACTATAAAATGTTATTCACAACTATTGCTTCCAAGTTAATCACATAGAATTGCCTCGAAATGTTTATTACTTTCAATGAAAAACTAGTTTACACCATTTAAACAACATTCTTAGTTTCAGTTTTTAAAACCAATAACCATGCATATTCATGCTCCGGTTTTAGTTGCTGTCTTTTGGCCGCCCACTTGGATAAAAGAATAGAATAACGACTAGAATAAGAGCAGAGTAAAAGTTGAGATAAAGAATCCATACAGACGGTAGTTGTAAAAACAATGAGTAAATGCACGAGCTCCGTTGTATGCGACATCCAGGCATATCACTCAGTGTCTGCACCCATCGGTTACCACGATCTCGGGGCTCCCATAAATGAAGCCTAACGGGACACAGTGTCCTGGTTAGGGTTTTCACACCCTCATGACAGGTGTTAGTTTGACTAACCTTGACCTTTTTCTAACCGCTTCCTGCCTCGGCAAACATCGCGCTTTGTGGCAACCCCTTTGGTAACACGTAACACATGCCCCAACCAGCGTAATCTATGGAGGTCAAACACTTGTTTCAGTGGACGACCGCAGTTATTTAAAGCTCTGCACCTAACTTCAGCATTGCTTTTCCGGTTTCCTCACGAATGCGGCGTAGACATCGGTGTTCTAACACCGAAAATCCTGTTCATTTAACGGTCAAATCTCAGTACCATAGAGCAGAAGTCTCCGAACTGCTGCAGCATATATCCGATCCTTCAGACTGTCGCACGTCACGACAGTGCCAACTGGCAGTATTTGTCCAGTTGAAGCAATTACAGGAAGGTCTAGTTTGCCATTTGGGGTGACTAATTTCCCGGGTAACCTCCAGTTCAAATGGAGGACTGATGTCAACTGGCAGTATTTGCACAGTTGAATCGAATGGGAGAGAGTCTTGTGTCGAAGGGGACCAGCTAAACTGTGCCTTAAAATGTTCTGCCCAACGTTCA